TATATAGCACTTTAGTGGATGCATTAGAATATTTGAGGTGCAAGTGGTGGCTAAATGAGATGCATGTGGGGTTCCTAGCCTCAAGCAGCAATGTTAGAGAGGCAATCCACACCACTAATTATGGGTGTGTTCCATCCCAATTTGTGTGAGTTACTTTTTAATAACAATTATTTACGATGAAATATAGTACTGTCGCTTAAGGTTTTTTTTTTTTGGGTAGTGTATTGTCATTGCAAAAAGTCACATTTCTAAAACAAAATGACATCATTTTATGTTGTATCTTGCCCTAATCCCACTTTCTTAATCACTCTCTCATTCTCGCTTTCTCAATCTCTATCTTACTCTTTTAGTCTCACCCTTTTAATCTTTCAACCTCAGTCTCACTTTCTTGCCCTCTCTTAGACCCTTCCTCTGTCAATCTCTTAACTCTCTTCATCTCTCTCTCTCTCTCTCTCTCTCTCTCATTGCCCACCCATCGACATCTGCCTTTCATTGTTGCCCACCAATATTTGGAATTCACCGCAACACATCTCCACTGTCAACCTTCGCTAGTCCGTCACAACTGTTTTTTCTTTATTTTTTTTGGGCCCTATTGTTCACTGGTAGTGGAAGTAGAAGGGTTTTAGGGGTTAGGAGGAGTGCTAGTGGTGGTGACAATGGGGGTGAAGGTGTTTAGGGAGGGAGTGAGGGTGTTGGTGGTGGCAGTAGCGGTGGGGTGGGGGTGGTCGAGCTGTTTAGGTGGCGGGTGAGGGTGCATGTGATGGCAAGGAAGAGTGGGGCTAGATGAATTAGGGAATGGAAAAAGAAAAGGGGTGTTGGTGTTGATGGAGACATTTTGCAACACTCCCTTTTGTCCCATAATCCCATTCAACTTATCGTCATTAGTTGTTGCAAAATAATATTTATGACAATCATATATTATTTGCGATGACAATATGTCATCGCAAAGTGTTTGCGATTTTTAGTAGTGGGAGTAGATTGTCACTTGAATATGAATAATTTTAGTTGATTCACATATATGAAGCTATTCCATTCTCTATAATTTATTATCATATAATTATCATTACGTAAAGAAGAATGATTCAATATTTTATTTCTATGGAGAGGGAGAGAAGTGGCCAAAGAAGATCTTGCAAAGGCATCACTAAGATTTTGTAGGGCATAGAGGGGGGGGAAAAAAAATTAGTGCATAACCAAAATGGACCCATCTATTAGACTTTTAATACAATTTTGGAAGTCACTGGTGCCAAAAAGAAAACTCTGATAACTTTCAAATTCAACAAAATTTGGGGATAATCTTCTTAATTAGAGAAATCTTACTTAAGTCCAAAATTAAGGATTCTCCCCCTTTATAGCAAAGAAAGCTTTAGCTAATCACTGGATTAGCCACTTAGACTAATGGCTAAAATTCATGTGCCTCATTAAGAGGTTATGGTTCGACTATTCTTTTCCCTCTAATGTATGAAAAAAATACTAAATTTTAAAATAAAAAAATATAATTTTAAGGTTTTATCTACTAGAGTTCCAAGCAAAGGAGAGTACATGCACATCATTTTATTTTATTTGTTTACAATTGGTAGGAAAAGAATAGAGAAAGAGAAAGCCATAACATTAAACATTGAGACTCAAACCTAGGAATGATAATCTTGCAAAGGAGTGTGCATTAATTCACTATAGGGTAACCTCTTGATCTCTATACATGATTTAATTATTATTATTTTTTTCGTGTGATATTCATATAGGTGTTCTTATGAGAGGACTTTTCTGTCTGATTTAGTGGATGTAATCCGAGTTCGTTTTCTTACTCATTTTATTAGGTGACTTGTGAAAATAAAACCCTTTTTTTGGGTCAGAAATTGCACCCCTTATATATAGGTAAGAGGAAGTGTTTGGGTATGTAAGGTGCATATCATATGCACTTATATAAGTTCTTATAAATATATATAGGTTATCTCATAAAATCGTGTAAATTCTCACAAATATACGTAAGTTGTGATTTCTTAAATTTTTATAAGATAATTTATATATGTTTGTGAAAATTTAAAATTTTTTGCAAAATATCTTATATATATTTGTGAAAATTTACGCAAATATATATGTTATGCACTTGCACATAGTATGCACTTGCGAATTGCTCATAAGTAAGTGATAGATCCATTATTTAAAGAGGCCAACCACCAAGAGAAGTTCTGAATTCTCAATTTCTCATTACTGGACTCGGGCCTAGCAACAGTTGGGTGATGCAATGCATGTGGACTATTGGCTTGTACCCTTGGGCCTGCTTTTAAGTTCTTAACAAAAATTTATTCCAACAATGATTTGTGCATCATATGAGCAACTGGAAACTTTATTTACTTAAATAATAATAATAATAATAATCGCCATAAAAATCTTAAAATTAAAAATTGCATTGCACATGCAACGACATGTGAATTTGTATATATAGTTTCGAGTGTTATATGTTGCATAATGCAACTTTTTTTTCTTTTTATTTCTTTCTTACCGATTGTAAAAAATAATAAAAAAATTTCAAATTGTCGTACTTTTTATTCAACAAATTTTTTTTGAAAAATTTGGCTATAAACCCTCTTTACCTTCCTTTCATTGTTAGAAGGACTAAGAAGAAAATTATACTTTCTAAACCCCCTCATAATTATAAAATCTTGCATAAAGGATAAAATTTATTATTTAAATATTTTATCAGACTATTATACCCTCACATATACACAATCCAGATACAAAATTTATCTTCTCTCTCGTCTCTCACTTCTAACCCTAGCTTCCTCCATGGCCAGAGCTGTGTCATTCCTAAGCTCCGACGATCTCTCTCTGCATCTTTTCAACTCTTCTTCTTCAACTCTCCTTCAACTGTTCATCTTCTATCTCGTCTCTCTCTTCTAATCCTAGCTTCCTCTATGACCGGAGCTGTGGAGAACTTGCAAATCGCGCTGATACATATATCTACATATTCCGATCTGTAATATATATATATCTATATATATGTGTGTGTTTGTGTGTTTTGAGATTTGAATTCGAATATATAGATTTTTAAAAGCTCAAAGTTTTAAAAATCTGAAAAATCTGAAAAATCTGAAGAACCGGGGTATGAAAAATTGAGATTTCTCAAAAATTTTCAGATTATAGGCCTAATTCAAGGATTATAGGCATGATTCAATATTTTTCAAAGTAAGCATTGATTGATTCAAGGATTATAGGCTTAATTCAAAGCTTAAAGCTTAAAGTTCCATCGATTTTTCAGAGTAAACATCAAATTTCATTTGATAGAATCAGAGTAAAATTTTACTCTAATTCTATTGTTCTGTTTTTTTCATTTGACAGAACCAGAGTAAAATTTTACTTTTATACAGAGTAAAATTTTACTTTTAGTTTTAGAGTATAAAATTTTACTTTCATTCATAGTAAAATTTTACTTTTATACAGAGTAAAATTTTACTTTCATACAGAGTAAAATTTTACTCTGAAATACATAGTGAAAATATCTTAATAGGAGAGCTGATAGATATGAGGATAATATAGTAAAAGAAACAAGTTTTAAAATATCAGGAGGTTTTGAAAGTACTTATATAATTCTTGTCCTTTTGAAAGAGAAATTAGATAGTGAGGGGGTTATGACCAAATCCCCCATTTTTTTTTTGTAAAAAAATAAGTACACAACTTAAAAACTGTGGTAGATTAGAATTCACAGAAGAATTGTGCGACCCACAAACAAAACCAACCCAATGTCTATGGGTTGGGTTGATTCAAATTTAACATTTTTTGAAAAAGACTCAGTTTTATATTGGGCTCAACTAACGAAATAGTTTGGTTACGAGTCCAAGTAATCCAAATCAACCCAAATCCTAACCCTCTAGTCCAGTGGATGAATATTATCATAGTCAAGAAAGAAATCACTAATGCTGACAAGAAAAAAAGAAAAAAAAGAAAAAAAAAAAATTGATCCTAAGCACTAGTGCCTTCAAGGACTAAAGCAAGAAAGGTATATGAGATTATTTATTTCAATATACTTCATAAAGGAAAATATATGAGTAAATTACATTTTTTTTTTCTCTTTATATTTGATCACTTTCTCATTTTGACAGCTGATTTTTTTTTTCTTTTCATTTTAGCTTTTATATTTCAATTTTTTTTTTATTTTACTCTTAAAACTAACTTATATTCAAAATTAGATATAAAATATCATAAAAACTTTCACATAATATAAAATATATTATTATATTAAAATTTAAGTTTATGTAAAATATGTGAGTTATATAAACAAAATATTTTTATATCACGTGACTGTCAATGTATTATTTTTTTATTTAATTTTTAACATAAATTAGTTTTATGAGTAAATTGAGAAAAATTTAAAACATAAATGGCTAAAATGAAAAAAAAAATAAATCTTAAAGGCCAAAATCAGAAAATAGCCAAATATAAAATGATCAAAATATAATTTACCCATATATATAAGATTATGAATTTTGCTAATATATGCGATGAAATTTCAAACACTACATAAAAATACTTATAATAAAAAATATCTAATTTTTTAATTTTTTTTATAATATGTGCCCTATAAAAATACATTTTAATCACATCCTAAGTTTATATATTAGAAAAACAATAATACAAATTACTCTATTTTCTTTTTATTTGTTCTTTTTTACCCAAACAAAAAATTTTAATTGGCAACAGACCTTTTGTTTTTTGTTTTTTGTTTTTTAGACCACAAACAAATAACATTTGAGTGTTTCGAAGAAACAACATGCTAGTAGACACATGTTATTCATGAACACAACAATATATAAACGTTAAAAAACAAATAATTCGCAGTTTTGGGTCATTGTGTAAATATTAATTTCTCTTTTCTGACAAAATTTCTGATTATTTGCTCATAAGGGTCGGCTAAATTTTCACTTTTTTACTTTTCAACCCCTAAATTTCGAGTTATTTTCAACACACGGGTCAATATATACGTAACAGATCGTCACATTCGACATTTGTTCTTCTTTGCCGTTTCAGTTGAGCAACCTAGGGTTTTGAAAAGCTTTTTTCGTCTCTCTCTGCCCAAAGTTCCTCTCTCTCTGTCTGTCTCTCTCTCGATCGGAATTATCTGAAGAATGCTGGTGAAAATTGTTGACACATTGATGAATTAGGTATTAATTATGCGATTTTGAATGCGTTATCATTGAATTTTTCATCGGAATATGATCTTTGGTGTCACAGTTTCAGGTGTTGAATGGTGAAAGGTAATCTCTTTGATGCCATTAAGCTTTTAGATCCTTTCCTTGTGCTGTTTCTGTAAATTTAGTTTCTGAGGAAATTTAGGGAATATGGGTTGAAGATTTTAGTTGTCTTTGTGCTGCATATTTTTTGGTGGGTTTTTGTGTTTTACTTGGTATTTCTGGTCTTCGTGGCCAATGGGTTGTAGTGATATTTGGGTTTTATGAAGAATTGAAGTTTTTGTTTGGAGTTTTAAAGGATGAAGAGATCAAAAAATGAACTTCCTGGTGCAAGGAGGTTCAAACTGTCACATTTGTTGTTGGTTATAGCTGCAGTGTACTTGATTTTTATATCCTTCAAGTTTCCCCAATTTTTGGAGATTACTTCAGTGTTGAGTGGTGATGATACTTATGTGGGTATGGATGGAAGCTCAGTCGGGGACGCAATAAAAGGAGACTTGAGCAAACCATTTTTTAATACTGCTTATAAGGATACATTTCACAGGAGATTAGAAGATAATGAAAACCAAAATGCGCCTTTGATGATACGGGAGGAACCATTAGAAGAGGCGAAAGGAGAATCGCAGCCAATAAAGCCTCTTCAGCATCGTTATGGTCGAATAACCGGTGAAATTATGAAGCGGAGGAATAAGACTATTGGTTTGTCGGTATTGGAAATAATGGCAGATGAGGCTTGGACGTTAGGCTTGAAGGCATGGGGAGAAGTGGAAAATTTTGATGATGAAAATGATCTAAGCCAGAGTTCTATACTTGCGGGAAAGCCCGAGTCTTGTCCATCATGGTTATCGTTGAGTGGTAAAGAATTAGCTAGGGGAGACAGTATTATGTTTCTTCCTTGTGGGCTGGCAGCAGGTTCTTCTATCACAGTGGTGGGAACACCCCATTATGCACATCATGAGTATGTGCAGAAAGCTCAAAGATTGAAGAAGGGGGATATGAGGAGGGGGGATACGAAGGGGGTTGTCTTGGTCCCAGTTTCACAATTTATGGTTGAATTGCAAGGGCTTAAGTCAGTGGTTGGGGAGGACCCACCAAAGATTCTGCATCTGAATCCTCGATTGCGAGGAGATTGGAGCCAACAACCAGTCATTGAGCACAATACCTGCTATAGAATGCAATGGGGGACGGCTCAAAGATGTGATGGTTTACCATCCAAGAACGAAGATGACATGCTCGGTAAGGGTTCTATTCTATTTTTTGTTTTTGGTTTTCCTTTTCCTTTATATGTTCATTCATCCCCTCACCTCCTCCGAACATTTGCCGCCTCTGAACATTTGCAAGCTCTGAGAATTCTATTGAAAATTAAAAAAGTTATAAGAACATATTGCAAGAGGGGAAATAGGAAGAAAATCACATATTGATCTTCTAATGACTAGGAGAATTTGTAAGATTTTGAATTTCAGAGTGGCATGACCAAGGTTTTAAAAAGCGGCCGCAACCGTTACGTAATGCCGTTACGTAACGGTTGTGGTGGTTACCGCCACCCGTTACGGCCGCTTTTGCAGTGTGATTGAGATTTATAGGTGTGTCGGCCGTAGCGGTTGCTATAGCAGTCGTAACGGCGCCGTAACAGCCGTAACGGCCTGTTATGCACAGTTACGTAACGGTTCCAAACTGCTTCTTTCGAAAAAACACAAAAAAAAAAAAAAAAAAAAAAAGCTGAAAATTGGGGAAGAGGGATAGAGAAAAGAGGGAAGATAAAGAGAGAAGATGGAGGAGTAGGAGATAGAGAGAGAGAAGAGGAAAGATGAAGAACATGTTATTGATTTGTTAAAACTGTAAGACTTATGCTATTCTATTCAGCTACTATCACTCAACCATTTTGTTTGTGTGTGTCTATCTATATATTGTTTGAAAAAAAATAAAAATAAATAAATAAATAATAATAATAATAAGAAGTGTGATCATTGTCTATTTGGCTTGGTTAAAATATGTATATATATATATATATATATATTTAAGCTCTTATTTATTCTCTTACTTTTGTCATTGTTTATCTTATATATAATAGTTAGTGATTGATTTTTTATATAATATAAAGTCATTAATTATTAAAATAAAATATAAAAAACTCAATTTATAGTAATTTAAAAATATGAAATATATTGGATCATCTTTAAAATTTACAAAAATTGATCAATATTTATTTTAAATCCAATACATATGATCATGGAAAAAAAATATGCGTATCAGTAAGTTTTTTTCAAATTGTGCGAAAAATAAAAAAATTCACGGTTCCGGTTATCGCAACCGTTACACTGCAGCCTTTACACCCCGCAACCACAACCGCGTCACCACCACCGTTACCGCGACCGCAACCGCAACCGCTTTTCAGAACCTTGGGCATAACCATTAGGTTACCAACAGACATGGTTTAAGTAGCATGGGTTTTTCTTGAGGCTTGGTGGGAGTAGTAGTTTAGATCGAATAGATGTTGCATATCCATTGGGACTATATTTTCTTGAAACTCATGTCTTCAAATTCAATTTATTATTTTTTATTTTTTTGTATTGTTTCACGCAGTAATTTTTGCCTTAAATGAGTGTATGGGTTATATGGGACATTTGTCAGACGCATGATTATTTGATGAAGTTCAAAATAGTATCAAAAGCTTTAAGTTATAGAATGGAGCCAAATTGCCTTATTCCTGTTAAAGTGAAGAAGAGTAATGGATTTTAAATTTATACAGTATAGGATACTAGAATAATATTTGCCTATTAGTCCAAAAGTATGAGGTTGTAATATGAGTTCAAACTATAGAAACAACAAATACTTTTTAATAAACTTGGATTTGGGTGTGTTTGACTTCCATCTAACTTTCCCCAAGTGGACTTGAAACTGATTTTAGACACAAAGTAATAGGATAAAAATGAAAAAGAGACAAAGACTCATGACATAGCTTCTTACAATTAATTTGTGCATTGTTCCCAATTTGGCGTTGAATTGTCAAAAAGTCAGAAGACCAGCTTGCTTGTTTTCTGTAGTCATTATCTGGAAATGTCCTGTACTGATAAGGTTTAGAATTTGGATTGGACTCTTGTTTTCTTCTTTTTCTTGTTGTAAATTTTCAGGATCATCTTAAGTGAAGTATTGTTCAGATATGTGCATGAGTGATTAAGAAGTGGACCTGTGTTTCAGAAAGGGTTTTGGCGCTTTAGTTGCTTGTCTGACTTGGGGTCTTTTACAACAACTTGATTTAAACAGGGCCACGTTTTGAGTTTTTTTGCATGAAGTTCTTGTAGACTATTGCCCCAAATATTTAGTTAGGTGATAATAAGTTATTTAACCTGGGTGACTTGTTGCACAATCGTAAAGTGTTGGTGCTTTTCCTATCATGTATTTTTTCCTATGATGCATCAGTTCATTCTGCGTTATGCTTATTGAGTAACTAAATTCCTAATATCTAATCTTTGACAGTTGATGGACATGTGAGATGTGAAAAATGGATGCGGAACGATATTGTAGATTCAAAAGAGTCCAAGACAACTTCATGGTTTAAGCGATTCATAGGTCGTTCACAGAAGCCAGAAGTGACCTGGCCATTTGCTTTTGTGGAGGGTAGATTGTTTGTCCTGACCGTGCGTGCTGGTGTTGATGGATACCATCTTATTGTTGGGGGTCGACACGTGACTTCATTTCCATATCGAACGGTACGCTACTTGAGATCTGGAAGTATTTTTATGAGCTTTACTCATTACAAATCTTTTGACTCTGTCAAATCTAACAGGTATATGATTGCCTTGAGGGTGATCATTGGATGTTTGGGGTACAAATGCCCTGTTGGATAGTCAAATGACTGGAACCATCTATGCTATGTATATACTTATTTAGAATGGTTTGAGCCACGTGAAATTAATGGGAAAGGAAGAGTATTTATATATGGCATTTCTACATTATCTATTCAGTGATAAACTGATAATCTTCATAGTGTGTTCCCCCTTCCAGGAAATAAGATTTTCATATGTGTGCATTGTTGGATGGTTTTATATCTAGGTGGCATGGATGTTAAATGATATGAACATGTCAACATGACAATTTTTAAATATAAAAAATAAAAATCATACGACATGGCAGGGTCACAACGAGAAATAAATTAATATTATATGTATATATGCATGAAAAGAACTATTTATATTTTTTGTATTACAAATATGTTTATATTTTATTATATCGAGATAGTAAGAAATAATTTTTCTACATACCACATATTGGAAAAGAGTTGTCAACAGAAGTCCTAATATTTACATACGAAAGTTCTAATCATAAACAAATTGGAAATTTTGGTTTTTAGAATTCTGAAAATGTCTGAAGGATGAGAGATCAATAGATATAAATTCGCATTATTTTTATTTGATTATTGGATTCCAAGCTATTTTCTTCGAACTTTGCAATGTGTTTCATGTGTGTCTAAACAATTGACACATGCTTCCACCAATTGTCTGATGCATTTTTTATTCTAATTTTTTTTGGAAAGTAATAAGACACATTTGGATGTTTGTCTGATGTGTGGGGAGGTCTGATATGTGTCTGTCACAGACATGGTGCCTTCTTAGAAGTGTCCGTGTTCTTTTTTAGAGTTTTATCAACATTCTTCCCATGGATAGACTTTCTCACTTCCTTGCCTTTCGTGTTTATGATTGCCTTATGAACTGCTGTGGACCTGTGTTTGGAGAATTGCTTTTGTAGCTTCAAGTTTCATGATGCCATAGCCTCTTTTTCAGCTGTATGATAAATAATTATTCTGGTTGTTTTCGTGTTGACCTGGAGATTATGGAGTATCGCTTATAGACATATTTTGTATATTCAATATCTTTTGTTCAATCGTACAATACGTCATTGGTTTACTATCTATTGTCTCTTATATAAACATGGAAATGTTTTTTGTGATAATATATTTATTTTTTATTCAGGGGTTTACACTTGAAGATGCAACAGGATTGGCAATTAAAGGTGATGTGGATGTTCATTCGATTTATGCTACCTCTCTCCCAGCCTCTCATCCGAGCTTCTCACCCCAAAGAGTATTAGAAATGTCTCCACAGTGGAAAGCTCTTCCATTGCCCAAAAATCCTGTTCGACTTTTTGTTGGGGTCCTTTCTGCAACCAATCACTTCGCAGAACGCATGGCAGTTAGAAAAACATGGATGCAATCTTCAGCCATCAAGTCCTCAAATGTTGTTGTTCGTTTCTTTGTTGCATTGGTAAGGTTCCCATGTCTTTTTTTTTTTTTCGGTTAAGAAGAGTTGCATAAATATTTTCTTGTAAATGTGAAGAAGGCTAAAACACTTGAGGCAATAATTTTGAAGATCAAGTTTTCGTCAAAGTGCACAAAATAGCTCTTGTTATTTTTCAGTAGAAACCAACTGACCTGCATCTTTTAACCTAAGCTGATTTAATTAGATTAACTCTTAAGTTATTTAAACATAATATAAATAGACAGGAATTGTATAGTAATCAACCACATAGAGACAACAATATAACGTGGAAAATCCGTACTCGGGAAAGAAAACCCCAGACGCAACACTAGTGTACCAAGATTGAGTCCAAAGCTGCTTGTTCTGCTGCCATTTCTTTTAATAAAACCACTTACATATATATATTGTATATTATATATTCTAAGTTTCTACTCATTTGAAATGTCAACCTGCAGAATCCGAGGAAGGAGGTGAATGCAGTTCTAAAGAAAGAAGCTGCTTACTTTGGTGATATTGTTATTATACCATTTATGGACCGCTACGAGCTTGTGGTTCTGAAAACTATTGCCATCTGTGACTATGGGGTAAGTTTACTTTCATCTTCTAGCTTTCTTCAATTCTCCCAGAGTAGTTTATTTTCTAGATTGGTTCCGATGTTGGTGCTGTACTCTATCCTCTTTCACAACCCAAGCATTCACCATGCAGATTCAAAATGTGTCGGCTGCTTACATAATGAAATGTGATGATGATACATTTGCTAGGGTGGACACTGTCTTGAAAGAAATTGAAGGCGTCTCTCCTAAACGTTCCCTCTATATGGGCAATCTCAACCTCTTGCATCGGCCCCTTAGAAGTGGGAAATGGGCAGTGACTTACGAGGTATGAAATCTTCAAACGCATATATATATCATGCAATCGTGAACATTCAGCTATGGTTCACTGAAATGATTTACAGCAATACAACGATGCATCTTAAACTACATTATATGGGAAAAATAATGCATATAAGATTTTGTTTGCCTTCCATTTAGGGGTTAAGCAGTTTGGTTAGGTTTGGTCAGGATTGAACAGAAATTTAATACCAAACCAATCCTTTTGGCTTTTGTTAGTTGAGGAACCAAAACTGAATATATTACGTTTGGTTTTACCAGTTTTTCAATTTAATGTAAATGAGGAATTTACCGGAGGTTTTGAGGATTTTATAAAAATTTATAGATGGGGAATAAATGAAGAGAGAGGGTGGGAACTGCACTATATAAATGTCTCCCTCCCTAACTTTCATTGTAAATGTAGAATTACTTATCTCCTAATACTAAAAAATTTAGAATATTAAAAATATTTAAATATAATGTTACAGTTGGTTCGGTCAGTGTTGGTGTAAAATTTTTCAAAACCGGAACAGACTGTGCCTTAAGAAAAACTGAGCGAAAACCAAAATTTCAGACGGTCAATTCGGTCCTACCAATTTTTCTTACAACCCTACTTACATTTCAGATGGTTGATTTGTTTGATATAACAGGAGTGGCCAGAATCAGTATACCCACCTTACGCCAATGGTCCTGGTTACATAATATCGAGTGATATTGCTAAATTCGTTGTCTCTCAACACGTCAATCGACGCCTACGGGTTAGTAACACCATATACTTTATCCATTTATAATTTTTGGTGGAGGATTGTAACATTTGTTTCTTCTTTATGGCAGTTGTTCAAGATGGAGGATGTGAGTATGGGAATGTGGGTCGAGCAGTTCAACAGCTCCACGCCTGTCCAGTACTCCCACAACTGGAAATTCTGTCAGTATGGTTGTATGGAGGATTATTTCACTGCACATTACCAATCCCCGAGACAGATGATTTGCCTGTGGGACAATTTGGCTAGGGGTCGAGCTCATTGCTGTAACTTCCGATGACAGAAACAGAAGCCGTAATTCTGGGATAACCTTAACCTGTTGTTCCGCTTTGATTTGCTCAAAATTTCACCCAATCGTTGATTTGTACCCACAGCCAGTGTTTGAAGATGCGAACCGGGTTGCAGTTTTTTCGAGTCATGGAGGGGGATTGAGGGTCCTTACCTTAATCCTTTGAAGTTGTACAATTAAAAATGTATATGATTCATTCAACACATTTGTGAAGCAAGGAAAGCATTTTCACTTGCAGTTGTTGAATACTTTAACAAGGTGTGAAAAGGGCTAGGGTTAAAAATACTAGTGCATTATCAATGAATGGAAGTGAGATAGCTTGTCTCTCCCAGTTTTTGTTTGCATGTATTCTATTTTTCACTATACTCATTGAAAAACTACCATGAATTGGAAAATTTATGTTTGTGGATATTCACTTTTCGATCCTCTTATTTCAAAGTGAGGGTGGAAGTAGGTTGGCTTTTTAGTTTTTTTTGACTATTTTAGTCTGGGTTAAAAAGTTTGGTCTGTGAAGAGCTTTTGATTTTTTTGACTTTTTTGTGAGAGTAAAGATTTAATGATTATAGATTGGATGCGATGTTTTGTCTTGTTAGGTTAAAAAGTTTATTTTATTTTTTATGGTTAAAATAGTCAAAAAAATCTGACTTTTGACTTTCCATACGAAGCCTCAGTGTCTATGCTACATTTTTTATTTTTTATTTTTTTTAGCTTAAGATGTATGCTACATTGACATGTGTTATTTTTTTCCCCTTTTGTTAAGTGGCTTTTAATTTAGGCCAAGTTTGGGATGTTTCCAAAAAGTCAAAAAGCCAAAAAGTTACTCAAAAAGTTAAAAAGTTAGCACTATTCACCAAAAGTCAACAATTACGGCTGCACAACTCCCAATTCAAATTTTTCCCTATTCAAATTTTTCCCTACAAATCAATTTTTACAATTTTTTATTACACATTTTTCAATAAAAAGTCAAAAAGTTAACCCAAACATCCATATTTTCAACCTCAATTTTTTAGTCCAAAAAGACAAAAAGTGCACTTATTTAGTCTTTCCAAACTTGGCCTTAGTAAGTCTTTAAGGGCCAACTCATATCAGTGGGTGCTCAATTTTTTTGTATGGTCAAGTTTAATAGTCTGTGGCAAAATTGACAGTAAAAAGTTCACATTATCTCCAAAAAGAAGTTTGAGGGAAAGAATTGAGATGACGCCATTTTATGGACAATATAATAAATTGTTGTCCTTTTAAAGGATCAAATATCCCTTATTATCACATAAAAAATAGGGTAAATTAAACACTCCTGAGATTTGATTTAATTACATTATACTCTCATTTTGAAAATTATATTCTCATTCCTGTGGTTAATAGTGTCATTTTACAAATCTCTTACTTATATGAAAAACAACAACTCCTAATAGAAGTATAGAAGAAATTACATTGAAAAAAAAAAAAAGTAAAATAGAGGGAAAAAAGCAGAGGAAGTAAAATCAAATAAGAAAAAAGAGAGTGTATGAGTTCAATGTTTTCATTCCGTCTAAATAATTATAATGATAGGGGGTTGGTCTAATTTCTCAAACGTCAAGAGGTGATATGTATTAAACTTAAATTTCAGGGATATAAGTGTTATTTACCCTAAAAAATAGCATACTCGTACTCATTTTAAGGCTTTATAAGTTCAAATTCATATGCTGCATAATAAAAAATTAAGATTGTATTTGAATTAAAAATTTGTAGAAAGGAAAAAAAAAAAAAAATTCTTTTGTCCAAATGCGGCCTAAAGTCCAACTTTAAACGAGTGACAGAAAAAAAATAAAAATAAAAAAAGGACAAGAATGTCAACCCCATGACATATTGAGAGTTACAACCCAAAATTTTAATAACTAGAGTAATAATGCTGTCAATCGAAATTTACTAAAAACATACACAGATGATTCACTAAAACCTCTTTGAAGAATGTCAAGAGAAGCATTTCCACAAGCATGTCCACACTCTTGTTTGATCTTTCAGTCACTATCAATATCTTAATTTGCAAGCACTCAAAAGCAACATTCCAACATGCAATTGGCCTTTGTGTAGGTTGTGCCATTGACATCAACATGGAAAACATTAGCACCATTGTAGGTATCTTATTCCATTCCATTGCATTGATGAAACAAATGATATTATATAATCAATGGAGGAGAGCTTATATAATGAATATTGAGATTGGAGCATAGGAGTTCTTATTTATTGTTTGATCTGTGTATCTAGGACTTTGCTAGGACAATTATTGCAATGGTGTCACTTGGCCTACATTAATGTTTACATATACTTAAAAAAAAATAAATAACAAAAACATTTTTAGGCTCTCGAGTTTAGGGTTTAAAAAACTTTATTTTATTGAAAAATAAATGGGACTATGTTTTGCAATTTTCAGATTGGGATTAGTACTTTTTATTTTTTATTTTTATTTTACGGATCTCAAACAAACTAAGGTTTAACATTTAAATAATTTGGAATCTAAACAAAATCGTTATTGATCGGAGTAAGGTTTTGAAAATAATAAAATTAAGTTTAGAAAAAAAAAAAAAACCTAGGATTAATGTAGAAAATTTTGGAGGTGTCAAGTTCATGGCAATTAAAAATTTTGGGTAGGGTTATGAAATTTTGAATTTTAGATTTTAAATGGCATTAAAAGGGCATTTCCTTGACAATAAAGGACAAAAAAATTACTATTTTGAGGGTGATTTAGGTAAAACATTAAAATAAATAGACACTTTTTCATAAATTCCTTTTTATTTACTTATGTTCTATTTAGTCTACATTATTTTCTTATATTACAATAAGTCTTATGAGTGACATAGTTACCAAAATACTCCTAATAATATTTACATTTATAGTGTGAATGTTCCGTGATATGAATGTTCACACTGTCAGTGTGAACATTCACACGTCAATATGAATATTCACATCTTAAAATATAAATGTTCATATTATCAAATTGCTAACTGTTCAAAAAATATTTGTAAGAGTAGAAATGTCCATAAAATACTTTAAATATGAGAATTATGATTTGGTAGATCAAATGTTCAAATAATAAAATTTATTAGAATACAAGAATATCTTATAGATTAATTGATATACAAATACTTAAAAAAGAATTTTCTAATAAATCTCCCTAAAATAAACATGCAATAATTAATTTCCATCTAATCTAGTTGGAAGGACGATAACTTTCTTTCATGTTATATCTGTAATTAAGTTCTTAATAAATCTAGATCTCATCTTGCTTATCCATTCCTTTGATAAAAATCAATGCTCCTGGACAAAAAAATAAAATAAAATTATGGAGTGAAAAGACAATTTTAACCCTGTTGTAATTTGCTCATTACTTATAATCAGTGTGAGACCAAAAAAAAAAAAATGATGGAAGAATATTGTGTGTCAACCACATTTGGTGCTACTGTGATTACATGTTTGATTGTGTTTTAAAATTTGAATAAATTACAAACACGCTTCCTGAGATTTACTTAAATTATAAATTATTTTTTGTGGTTCTAAAAATTACATTATGTCCCTAAAGTTTCTAATTTCATAACAAATATATCATTTTATTAATAAATCATCAAATTAATTAACAGTTTTTAATAATATTAAAATTTTATTTTAATTAATAATTTAGATAATTTTATTATTGTATAGGTGAACAGTTAAAAATTTCACTTTTTTAATTAATTCTGTTAAATAAAAAAATTCTAACAGTGAGGTATTTGTAATTTTCCAAATTACATGGAACAATTTATATTTTAAGCAAACCTCAGAGAATGTATTTGTAATTTACCCTTTTATTTTTTCGTGTATTTGAAAATCGAAATAAGAAAAAGCTTGAAAGTATTCACTGTACAGTTTTTATAAATTAAAAGTTGGAGACTTTTAAAATATCATTCCTAAATTTATTCATATTAATGTGACCGATGGATTAGGTCGTAGTTGTCTAATTCGGGAGTAAATCAACAAACCGTCCAGGTCATTGTGGGCAAAATGACATAATTTTCAAAATTAAAAAACAAAAATATATAGCTGTGAGAAAGTATACTAAACATGGCTTTCTGTTGATCCAGTGATTCATATAGCTATTTTTTAGGATAATGAGAAGACCAAAAGTTCATTATTTGAATTGATGGATCGACTACTATACTTTCGCTAATTCATTAACATTCTATCATTTGTCAAAACAAGAAAAATCATGATTTTATTTTCATAAATTAAAAAATAACATTTCAATGTTTTAAAAAAGAATAATATTAAAAAAATCTCTAAGAAGTGGGTTGGTTTTTTAACTTTTTGGCTTTTTTGGCTATTTTAGCCTGGGCTAAAAAGCTTGGTTTGGGAAGGATTTTTTGACTTTTTGACTTTTTTCGTGAGAGAAGAGTGTAATGATATGGGTTGAATGTGATGTTTTGTTTGTTGTGGCTAAAATAGCCTATTTTGTCTTTTGTGGCTAAAATAGCCCCAAACTTTCTTGCCAAACGGAGCCTAAATCTCTAAAATGTCATTAGGAGGGATTGAATCTTAGTTGTCTAGTTTTAAAATAAAGAAAAATGGTTTGGAGCTCTAATTTTTTAGCTCTAAAACCAGCTCTAATGAGTTAACAGTGGACTCCACCCACTGTGATTTGATATTTTGATCTTGATTTGTTTTTTTATTTTTTTTCTCCTTACCATATCATTAGTGATCTATTAGAACACCAAAATTAATATTCTGAATCATTGTTATTAAATAAATTAACAAACGGTCCACGTCATGATGGACAAAAACTCTAAAATTTTAAAAATAAAATAAAAATAAATTTATAAATAAGTCTGATGAACTGTACCAAACATGGCTTTCCATGCTTTATGCTTTAGGAGTGCTGCAAATGATCTTCGTTGTTTGTTGCTGGCACTTGAAATCATTGGGTAACAGTTGTCACCTGAGCCTCCTACTATACAAACTGCATTATATGTTCATGCATCCACTGTTGAAGACAAATTGTTAACAATTTTAATCACTTTTCATGTTTCTCTCAATCCAAACATATAATGAGGAGGTCAATGGATTTTCTTTTCTATTCTTTTTAAACTATAAATAAATAATTTTATTTACTTCAATACATATTGATAATTGAACAAAAACCATACGTGCAGAAAATAAGAGCAAGAGAAAGAAAAATAAGACGATTAGAAACTAGATTAATTTTAATTTTGATCTCCTTTTGTTTGGTCAAAATAAATCACTAAAGCAAGAAAAAAATATACTAGAAAGTATGAAAACTAAGGATAGTGTTTATGTTTACAGTTTTGTATTTATGCTTACATGAATTTTAAAATTTGTAAACAAAAAACTTATTTAGTGTCTATTTTTATTTAAAAAAAATTATAAACAATTTATGAAATTCACTAAATTTTTGT